AAGTTTTAAGGGATACAGAGAGACCTACTTGGGGTGTGTGTTTGCAACCAGAGCCCTGAAGGAACAGAAATTGAAAGAAAACGCACACCAGAGCGAGTCACAAAAGAACAGCCCCAAGCCTGAGTGCCCAGATTTCTTATTTGAAAGGTGACATTCAGCCTTCATTCCCTGTTAACTTTCAGCCATCATTCTTCCTAAAGAAAAAGAAAAAAAAAGTCAAGAAAGTATTAGCATCTTGGGGTCTTGATGGGATTTGTTTTCTTTGCCAGGTAAAGAATTAGAAGGTAGGAGAAATATCTGGAGCAAGACAGGTAGAGGCAGCAAAATCTTGGACACAGCAAACAGGAGCAGACAGAATGAGCAATGGAAGACAGGCTTTTATTAGGGAGAGAAAACACACACACACACACACACACACACACACACACACACACAGCAGGCACATCATGAAAAAGACCTCAGCAAAGCAGTGGGACTTGGCAAGCTACAGCCTAGACTTTCCTTGAGGACTGACCATTTGAAGGGTCTGTGAGGGGAGTCTTTCTCCCCCAGTTTAGGACTGGTCAGTTTGAACAAAGGCAGGAGGCTGATAGGGTAAGCATGACCTGACATGGCTTGAACTTGTCCAGGGGCTGGATGCCATGGTGGTGGGATGTCTTAAGCTGACAGGCTTTTCTCTCAGGTCAGGAGGATGAGGAAGAAGCTGGCCATCTTGGAATTTCACTATTATCTGGTTATGGACCGCTCTGTCTGTCTGTCTACAAGGAAATCTGTCTATCTCCTAGTCTCTCAAAAGAACCACTAGGAAAGACTCAGATAAACCATTAGGAGCAGCCAGTTCTCCCATCCCTGGCTTAGCACTTTTTTTTGACTTTGGATGGTATTAAAATTTGCAAGAGGTCCAAGTTCATATCCATTCAGCACTCATCCCAAAACAGCAGTGCTGTATCCACACAGGGAAATACAGGTGGCTTTAAGGCCCTGGTAAGGTGTCCATGTCCATGTCTCAGCTATAAGCAATGACAAATGGTAAAGGGAACCCTGGACATGGTTACACTCTTACTCCAGTGGGTCCAGGGCTCTGCTCAACCACACTGTAGTATGTCCATGTTCACAGAGAACTTTAGTGAGCCTGTTTTACTATGGGGGTGTATGCCAAGAAAATTCAACTGGGAACACAGAGGTTAAGTAAGGAAACCAAAGGGGCGAGCACTGGGGCGAGGGGAGGAAAGATGGAACAGACAGCACATCATTCCTAAACCTGGTCACTTCCCATCCCACTTCCGGTGGTTGGCCACAACACAAACTAAAACTGAGCTGAAATCTTTGAAATCAACATCTCCCGTGGGAACCAAACAACAGACACACTTGTTTTGATGGACAGGTGGGTGACATAAATATTACATCACATGACCACAGAGGATGCCAATCAATAAGAATTTTTTTTTTCAACAGCACTAAATGAAGCACAGGTTCTTGCTTCTGAACACACTCCTTTAAGGCTCCCACTATTGCTTAAATGATTAATAGAAGAAGGATTGTCAAAAAAATACTTAAAGTGAAAAACAGTAAACTGTAGAAATATCATTCATGGCTTAAGACATTTCCTAGCAAAAATGTCATATAAATTTACATAGAGAATCCACTATGGTAATCTAGGTAACAGCCAGAAAGAAGGTAGACCTCACCTCACACTTGGTGGATGAAGGGGCATGAAAATAGTTTACCCAACTCAGGGAAAGCAGCTGTACTGCTTTGTATTATGTGGATATACCACAGGAACTCTGAATCCAACAGTCATGTTGGGAAACACCACAGTTTCTCAGGAGCAAATGAATCACCACCCAGGACAAAGAAACCAAAGGCCACAGATCTGAGCTGCATCTGGCCCACATCTCCCTCTTCCAAATGCAAGTGTGAGGATTTATCAAGTCAACAATAAAACAATGAATAAAAGATTTAAGCATGTTAGAGAACCGACCTAGCATTTCTCCCCATGGTGGAGTGAAGGTATAACCTGGTAGGAACACATTTACTGTCTCTGTGGTTCCTTGTTGCTGCCTTTTCTCCAAGTATGAGGAGCTAGCAGTCACTGTGTGGATGACTTATGGGGTTTCAAAGGCAATTGTGGCTAGATGTGATTTGGGCTGTGTGCAAGCTCTAGAATCCAGTCTCTCATGGCAACATTGTCATAAATACACTAACAAACAACCTTCCTGGCTCCATCTCTCACATCCTGCCAGCAATACAGACCTGGAGTGGCAGGACATGCTTGGGGACCTCCTAGGTGAATCCCTGAGAAGGACTACTCTTATAGGAACAAACCCTCTGCAAAAACTGTGACCCATGACTGAGACTTGGATTGAGTCCCAATGCTAGCTGCTGCTTGCTAACTTGATCTGGTACCAAAAGGGCAGTGGACAACACAGGACTCAAACGTCCCTGTGGTAACCTATAAATACACAGCTCTAAGAAGGAAGAGTAATTCCAAACATCTCCAGGATAGTCACCCAGCCACTTTCCCATGCTAAACATGACTTTAGGTTTGCATTAGGCTTCAAGAGACAAGGACTTCACCCTTATTCACTGGGAGCTGTTCTCTCAATGTGGACAAGTCTATGGTAGTGAGAGGAATATGTTTGGTGGGATGCATAACATGGGGTGAGACAGTAAATCCAAGCATGCATTTGCTGCCAAAAGAATCATCGACCCTGAGTTGACTCAGAGTCATTTAAGGACCACTGACAATCACCCCTGCTTTCATGGTCTTTCTGTCAAAACGGAACTCCACATTAGGTTTCCAATCTCACTGCTTGTACAGTGAATCTCAGTATTCTTCGTAAGTCTGACCAGTTACAAAATCAACATTGAGGTATTTGCTCTTCTCTTCCATTTATATCCCTCTAAGCCCTATATCTGAGACCAAACAGAAGAAGATGGGAGCAGAAAATTCCTCCCACTCTCTCTTTCTCTCCCCCTACATTCTAAAAGAAGAAAACAATTATCTATGTTTGTGTTCATATACTATATTTGGTCACGTGAATGAATAAATGGACATGTGTGAATGTGTATTTGCATACATGTAGTTAATATACATGCATATTCATATACATGTAAAAGTTATATGTGTTTATGAATGGAACAAAAAATATAAAGAAAAACATTAGAAGCTGAAGAGGAAATTTTCAAACAATGGTTAATGAAACATGCTTACTAGATAAACTCTTTTGGACTTCACCTTCCAAGATATATTTCAAAATTTCTTCCAAGATAAGGAAGAAATATAGGTGCCTACCAACAGGAGAAAGGATAAAGAATATATATTTACAGATAATACAGTATTTAGTCACAAAGGAAAACAAAATCATGCTGTCTGCAAGAAAATGCATAGAACTAAAGCTCATTACACAGAACAAAGTGAGCGTCATGGATTTTATCTTATATGTGGAAACTAGAATTAAAGAATAACAACAACAAATACAATTTCAAGTAGTGGTAAAGACATCATTGAGGAAAGGTAAGTGGACCAGAGGGAGCAAGGAGATGGGTGGTACAAAGGAAGGTGTGAGCATTTGATACTATCAAAGAGCTGTGTGTGTGTGTGTGTGTGTGTGTGTGTGTGTGTGTGTGAATATATATGGATACATGTATATAATATGTTCATATATATGGAAATATCATAATGAATCTAATTAATGTGACAATTAATATGCACTGAGAAGTATAATAAAGAGAAAAATGCAATTCTAAAAAAATGTTGGTATAAGAAGGTACTGTGTTTAAAGTGACCCCTTCTGGATGATATACTGATAGCTGGGGAACCTGCATGGGACTGAACTAGACCCTCTGAATGTGGGTGACAGTTAAGTGACTTGATCTGTTGGGGGTCCCCTGGCAGTGGCACCATGACCTATCATAGGGTCGTGAACTGGCTTTTTGGAGCCCATTGACTATGGTGGGATACCTTGCTCAGCCTTGAGACAGGGAGAGGGGCTTGATCTTGCCTCAACTTGGTAGGAAAGACTTTGTTGACTCCCCAAGGAATGTCTTACCCCCTTTTGGGAGTGGATGGGTGTGGGAAGGAGGAAGCAGGGGGCTGGAGAAGGAGAGGGAGGGCAACTGAAGTTGGTATGTAAGATGAAAAATAAATTTTTTAAAATAAAAATAAATAAATACAGTGACCACTTCACACACCTTGTATAAGGCAATTTCATGATTCAAAATTGAAAAGAATGTTCCAGAAATCACCTAATTTCTAAGCAATTAAACAACTCAAAGTGAGGAATTAGCAACATGTTCTAGCTGGATGGCAACTGTATTTCTCCTATCAGAAGTCACACTCAAATCTATAATATCACTCCATGGTTGAAAATTTTTCCTTATGAAAAAGGACCATCATGAATATTTTTTTTCAAGCAGGGTTCTAAGTCAATGTAAAAACAGCCTTAAATCTCTACAAAATTAATCATGAAACTTTGAAATGAGCTAAAGTCACAAAACTCCTCTTTTCTAGAAATACAGCTGAATCCCTGATTGATCTTATTTATGTCTGTGTGTTGGGCTTTGTTCCCTTGCAAATGTATAACAACTTTCAGTGTTTCTTACAATTTTGCTCTGATACACAGTGATTATTCCCACCATATTTCTTTGTAAGTCACCAGATTTTTAAATAAACTCTAGTAGGACAAATCCTTCTCAAAACATTGTCCTCTTTCCCCAACCCTTCCAGAGCTGTGTCCCAAGAGCTTGTAACACCCAAAATGTGTGTGAGCTAGCCCATGATGAAAAACATATCTCAGGCCCTGAACTCAATCAGCTCATATCCTTTCTTGGCTCCTAGAAACCCAAGAAAGAAAATGACTGTTTCCGGAAGACAACAGTGTAACACAATCATGGGAAGGAAGCCTGTGGATATTTACCAACATTTACATTGCAGCCACAGTATTCCACACCCAGGCCCGGAGTCCCCATTTCCTTTCTGCTACCACGTGAACACTCACCTGTATCTCTTATAGTCTTCCTCATCCTTCTCCAAGCTGACTAGCTCATTGGGACATGCCACGTTTCCCAGCAGGCTGAGGTATTCCAGGGCTGGTGTCACTTTTGCCAGGTGATCAAGGAGGTACTCTAAATCAGTAATGTGCCAAAGGTTAAGGATTATGTTCTGAGGAAACAAAAGGCTTAGCAAGAAGTAGGGGCCATGAGTGACAGGCCAGGCTATGGGAGTCAGTTCCACATCACTATGACAAAATACCTGACAGAGCAACTTAAGAAGAGAAAGGAGTTATTTTAGGTCACAGTATCTGAGGTTCCACCACCTTCCAGGAGCGTCACTTTGTGGATCACACCTTTGGGGACCATGTGTGAACTTTTATAATATAAAACACCCATCTAAATCATAGCACAAATATGTCTCAACTCCTAGAAACAAAAAATTAATTTTCAGTCAATCATGCTAAAAGATAGAATTGCCATTCTATGCTCTCTATAGAAAACATCTCAAATGTCATTATGCTATGAAGCTGTAAGGGAATTTGTAAGAAATAAGGTTTTGAAATGGGCATATCTAGTATAAAAGGATTTCTGTCCTTTCTTGTTATTTTAACATTTTTGGTACTTGTCAACTTAATTTTTTAAAATTTGCTTTGATATATTTTTATTCAGATTGAATATTATTGTTTTCATTCTTACACACAATCTCCTTCTTATTCTCTTACTTTTGTATTGTTAGGGATCCAACTCAGGGCCTTGTCATGCCAGGCAGGCGCTCTGACCCTGAGCCACATCTCTAGTCCATAAGCAGACTTTTCATGCATGATTTTTATGCTCTTAGTTATGTAACTTTTGTTGTTTTAAGAGGGCTTCTTTTTGTTATCCAAGCTCCACACTCCAGAAAAACTGTCTCTCTCCTTGACCAGAAGATCTGGAAAGGTAGATTCCTCTAAATATCCTGGTCATGGAAACTTTGGGCAAAGCATCTTTATGCTCCAGGATGCTTCAGCCTATAAACCCAGTGCATCTCCAGGAGGCTCTCTCATACGGGTTATTTGCTGTGCTGGAAACTCTTCCATTCTAAACCTCCCCAGAAACCCAATAAATGACAAATCGGGATGAGCTAAGTAGGCAGCCACAATCCACAGCAGACAGGGAGCCCCGGCACATCCTGCAGCAAGTTCTGCCCCAGCCCTTCAACTCTGTTGATTCCTCCACAGAGGGCAAAATAGGTGATGGGGTTTTAATTAGTTCCTCTGTCTCTTGGGTCAACCAGAACAAACACATCTCTGTCCCATCTGATTGTGAGCTGAGATGGAATCTGTTAAGTTGCTTGGAAAATTAAGCCAAGACAACGAGTGGAAGAAACGCTGGGGTCTCCAACTAACCAGGACCATGGCATTGGAGATGAACTGGGAGATGCTTGAAAGGGCAGCTTTTCTTCAAGCTCCCTGGCACTGTGTCAACTCTCTCCAGTTGGACTCTTGGAACATACCTGGTTTCCCTCATCAAGCCTTCTCCAGAGGACTGGGCATCCAGAATTTTTTTTTCTGGTGTTTACAGGAAGTTGCCATTGTGGAGCCCAGCTGTGAGGCTTGCCGAGAATGATTCCATATGGAGAGTTCAAGACCGAAGTGGTGTCTTTCTTTCAAGTTTGTTGAAGACAGAAAGTGAGGAGCCTACTGGCATATGGGTCCCATTGCACACAAGCCAAAATAGTTTCCCAGGTAAGAGTATAACATCCCCATCTTTGGGCTCATCTCAAGGTCAAGGAAAAGGGTTTATAACCACTGGGGAATTTTAACCATGGTGAATCCTAATGTCAGACTTTTGAAGGCTAAGTATATACTTTAGTGATATATTTGTACCCTGCATGAATATCTGAAATATTATCATGCCAGAAAAAAAAAACACTAAGATAAAAACAAGGTTAAGAGTCACACAGCCAGTAAATGACAGAGACTATATTCAAGTCTCAGTCATTCCTAGGAAGAAAAATGACTCAATTTCTAGCACAAAGGGTGAAATTAAAAGACTGAGAAATGAAGAGTTTAATATGTTTTGGGAGAAGATCATACATCGTCATCCAGCTGTGCTATCTGTCTCAGATATTTCAGTTTAGGCTTATGTTTTCAAAGCACTGTGGTTTTATCTTAATGTACCAAGAAATTTTAGTTAAATGTACCAGGAAGCAACAAAAGTCTGTGGGTGTTAACAGAGTGACTTCCCATAGATCACCCTGCTTATGCTACTCAAAGATACTCTAAAGTATGTATTATATAAGACTCCAAGGGCCCTGAGAAAGAAAACATACTTATTCAAGATGACAAGAAACTGCTGCTAAAAGTGAGATCCAGGGACTAAAGAAATGGCTTGCTGCTCTTGCAAGAGATGAGAGTGCAGTTGCCAGCACACACTTCTGGAAACTCAAAACCACCCATAATTCCATCTCCAGGTAACCTGAGGCTCTTTGCTGCTCTGCATTGGCACCTGCACTTACATGTACATCCACACATACAGACAACATGCATGCATAATATTTTCTAAATGTGAGGTCCAGTTTTGGAATGCAATACAATGGTCTCCTTGCCATAGTCCAGTTTTGTAACACGTAGCACTGTCCTTTCTTCCTGTTTTCACTACAGTTCAAACTGGCCATACCTTTAGCACAGTGCTAACACAGTGAGAAAAAAATGAGGTGCAATTTCCAATAAAGCCAGCTTCTTCTCAAAGGAAAGGCGGGAGAAGGTAATTGAATTGTGCAAAGGTTAAACATCTATACAGTACAAACTTTTCAGTGGGTCTCGTACTTGGGGTTGAATATTAGGAGACCAACACAGAAGACCTCAATGCTGCTAGTGGACAATCCAGGGAGAGAGTGTGAGAGATTGGTGGGTGAGAGAGATTGAGAATACTGGCAGGGGTGGGGGAGGCTGTTCTAGCCATGG